AGCTCATGACATCTATCTTTGATTCTTGTATTCTCTACATTACTCCACAAAATGCTCTGAGCTTAATATTGGAAATTTTAGAACTCTAGACTGAGAATGACTGGTTTTTCTTTGGCATTGAAAAACATACATTCTCCCTAATCAATTTTGTTTCATGTCATTTAAATATTATTAATTTAGGATTTCTCAGACTAAATGCATCACATTAAAATCGGTAATACTCATTTAATCTATATACCTCACAAAAATCTATGATATGTTTCAATCACAGTTATGTGTAGGAAAACTGAAACAGAAAAGTCAAAACAAACCAACAAAAAACAAAGAGAGTATCTATATTACTTACTCTTTCCTGATTAAATTTTAATTGATAAAAATCAAAAGAATTTACCCAACTTGTCATTGTTTTTGTTAGGGGCCGATGAGTTGTTTGTGACTCATAATGCTCCGATGTACAATAGAACAAAACACTACCCGGTGCCACACCATTCTCGGAGCCCTTGCTACCTCTTAGGCCAACGTTGCAGCCATTGTGCGAGTCCATTGCCTGAGTGTCTTCCTCTTTACCACTGACCCACTGCGTTATAAGCATGATGTCCTCTCCAGAGACTAGTGCTTCCCGATAACTTGTCCAAAGTGACATGAAATCTAGCCACCTTAGCTTCTGTGCGTAGTCTAGCTATGCTTCGTTGAAGACAAATTTGTTCATTATTCTGGAAGTCCATGGTACGTCCATTATTGTCCATTAAGATCATAGTTGAAATTCATCTATTCTTCCTCCATCTTCATTATTCATTGGCCAGCATTTGAAGGCATTTGAAGCTATTGAAATATGTCTTGCATTGGGTGTGATAGCTTTGCTTTTTAAAGAGGCCTCTTGCAACGAGCTAGCACATCACATGGACGTTGATTAGTGTCCAGTAATCAATGGATCTAAGCGAGATTAAATCTGAGACCAGTAATCAGTGGATTACTGTCCAGTGTCCAGTAATCAATGGATTAGTGTCCAGTAATCAATGGATCTAAGCGAGATTAAATCTGTGACCAGTCTTTTCTCCACTTTGCATGAACCTGCTGGTCTAGTTGTGAGCATTTCTGTTTTCTTTATGTGAAGATGGATTCATATTGAGGGATGTAGTCTTCGATCTTCATCGTTAAGTTCATGAAGCTATCTCTGCCTTCAGAAAGCAAGGTTGCTAATGAGTACCCTTCAGTCCTGATGCCTCACTTTTCATGTGGGCCAACTTCTTGGATTATCTGTTCAGCAGACAAATTGAATAAGTACAGCGAAAGAAACAACCCTGACACATATATTTACGTATTATGAACTAAGAGAGTCCCCTTGCTCTGTCCAAGTGACTGCCGCTTTGTTCATGGGCAGGTTCTGCGTGAGCACAGAAAGTGTTCTGAATTCCCATTCCATCGTTTGCTATGATCTCTGTAGTCGAACGCCTTTTCATGCGGTTAAACATCTTTCTGGTATTCTCTGCTTTCAGCCAACTGAAATCAGAAATGATACTCTTCATTCCATGTTTTCCTCTGAAACCGGCTTGCATATTTGACAGTTCCCTCTAGATGCACTGCTGGAAAAAATATTTTTCTTATTATCTTGAGCAAAATTTTAATTTTGTATGTCATTTATGATGCTGTTAGCTGATTTCTGCATTCCTTATGACCACTTTTCTTTGCAATGAGCACAATCATGAAACTCTTTTAGTCGGTTGGCCAGGTACCTGTCTTCAAAATTTCTTGGCAGATAAGTGAGCGCTTCTAGCTTTGTGCCTATTTGTTGAAACATCTCAGCTAGTGTTCCATCAACTTGTTGAGACTTCTTTTTGAAAAATGCCCTCATAACAGCTTGATCAATGCTTGATTATATGCAACCTCCTGAAGTAACTGAAAGTCTACCAACTCTTTCTAATAGAATTATTCTATGTATGTATTCTTTCTATATTCTTCTGATGCTTCCTCAAACATTCAACATTCTGTTCAAAGACTCCTTCAATATGGCCTTTTAGATTTGAATTTTTCTTTAGTTTTTTCAACATGATAAGTGTCCAGGATGGTTTTTCCTTTGGTTTTTCAACTCCAAGTCTTTGCACATTTCATTGTAATACACTTGTGTTCTGGAGTTGCCCTTTATAATCTTCTGTACAGATATTTTATTCATTTATTTAGTTAGTTAGACCTTTCCCTTTAACTACTCTTTGTTCAAGAGAGAGTTTCAGAGACTATTCTGACATCCATGTTGCTGTTTTCTTTCTTTCCTATTTTTTAATGGCATTTGGATTTCTCCACGTACGATGCCCTTGATGTCACCCCATGGCGTGTGTGGTTTCCAGTCATTAGGGTCCCATGGTGGTGGTCTCTAAGTTCTGGTGAGATATAGTCCAGCTTGTACTTAGGATTCCATAAAGTATATTAACCTTTTGCAGCTTTAATATAAATCTGCACATGGGCAATTGAATATTTCACATCCAGTCTTGGTCTTCTTTTTACTGATGAACTTGAGCTTCTCCATAATCTCTTATCATAGGTACAGTAGATTTGGTCCCTGTGTATTCCTTCCAGTGAGGTCCTTCTATTTAGTTCCCAACTTACACGTTATAACAATTATCAGTATGTCTTGAATGTATGTTTGATCTATTTTGAACTGCAGAATATGGAAAAAGACTTCAATTCTTCATTTTCCTTGTGGGGATTAGAGGGTCTCCTTGTGGGGATATGCATATTATTCTATTACTGATGGTACTACATTTCACACAGATCTTGAAACGTTTTGTTTGGCCCTAAATGCAATGCCATTACTCTCCAATTTGTCATTCCCAGTATAGAAGGTGTAGTAGTGTCCAATTCAAAATGTCCAATACCAGCCATGACAGCCTACTAATGCCTGAGATGTTGACCTTTCCACATTGTTTTTTTTTAAACATTTTATTAGGGGCTCATACAACTGTTATCCCAATCCGTACACACATCAATTGTGTAAAGCGCATTTGTACATCATTTCTCAAAACATTTTCTCTCCACTTAAACCCCCAACATTAGGTCCTCATTTTTCCCCTCCCTCCCCCTCCCCCCTCCCTCATGAGCCCTTGATAGTTTATAAATGGGTATTTTGTCATATCTTGCCCTGTCCAACGTCTCCCTTCACCCACTTTTCAGTTGTCTGTCCCCCAGGGAGGAGGTCACACACAGTTCCATGTAATCGGTTCCCTCTTTCCTACCCATTCTCCCTTTACCCTCCCTGTTTCGCCACTCACACCACTGGTCCTATAGGGCTCATCCATCCTGGAGTCCCTGTATTTTCAGTTCCTATCTGTACCAGTGTACCTCCTCTGGTCTAGCCTGACTTGCAAGATCGAATTCGAGTCATGGTAGTGGGAGCGGGGAGGAAACATTTAGGAACTAGAGGAAAGTTGTATTTCTCATCATTGTTACATCGCACCCTGACTGGCACATTATTTTGTTTTTGATAACTTCTATTTTCTATACTTTGTCTATTCCACGTTCTAATTGTTAAATGATGTTTGCAGCAGTCTCTGCTCATCTGAGTCACGTCTGATCAGCAAATGAAGCTCCCTAAAGCCTTACTCCATCTACATCTTTAAGATCAAATGTGAAGGTGCCGCTCTTCCCCCACCATATGCTGTGTTCCTGCCAGCCCGCGGGGCTCATCTTCTGGTACTTTATCCGACAAAGTGCTGCTGCTCTTCCTATGCACGCACTGGCCAATTTCTTTATAATCAGATGGCCATGTTCTTTTTCCTAGTCTGTCTTATCAGGACACTGTCCTGAAGTGACCTTGTGGGTATTTGAAATATTAGTGAAATGGATTCCGGCATCAAAACAGCAAGCAGGCCACCAGGGTAGTCAGTGAGCAAAACTAAGGGATGAGTGGCGATTCCTCTTCATGTGATAGGAGAAAGGGGGATAACTCTATTTTTTTCACTTAAGTATTATTCAGTTTATAGTTCAAATAGGAATTCATATTTGTCCAGGATATGTCTATATCTGTGTGTGCAGAAGGAGGGAAGATAATTTTTAAATCATTTTATTGGGGGCTCTGACAACTCTTGTTACAAACCATACATCAATTGTATCCAGCATATTCGTACATGTCTTCCATCGTCATTCTCTAGACATTTACTTTCCATTGAGCCCTTGGGATCAGCTCCTTCCTCACCACTCCCAACCCTCATGCCCCCTGAGAGATTGTAAATTGTCATTGTTTTCAAATCTCACACCGTCCACTGTCTCCCTTCCCTCTGGTTTCCGTTGCTCTTCCCCCTGGTTGTGTGTGTGTGCTGATGTGCCGTTCATTGCCGTCAGGCCCCACTCCCTCAACCACTCTCTCCCCTTCCCCCACCCTTCTGGTATCTCTATTCCCACTCCGGTTCCTGGGTTCCATGTGCTGTGAGTTTTATCTCTTACCTGTACCTATGCACATGCTCGCCTCTAGTCAGATTGGGAGGCGGCATTGAGGTCGTGATAGCGGGGGTGAGGAGGCCTCCAGGGAACAGAGGTATATTGTGTGAGCCATTAGTGCTCTACTGCACCCTGATGGATGCACCCATCCCTGCGACCCCTCTGTGGGGGATGTTCCATTGTCCATAGACGGGCTTTGGGTCTCCGCTCCAACCCCCCTCCATTCTCACCATTTTTTTTTTTTACTGTTGTTATTTTCTTTGTTATTAGTCAGAAAATCACTCCAAAAAACAGTGTCTGAGTAATAAACATTTGAAAATAAAAGTTACATGTTATTAAAATTTACTGCTACTACATGTATATTATTATTATATTTGTGTTTAGTTGTCTTTTCCTAAACTCAGAACCATCATTGACATGAGTTTTAACATAAACTGATACCTTCCTTTCAACAATCATGACAAGAGCACCATACAGTGCTAAGGAAGCAAAGAACATGTCTCCCAATCACATTTGATCTAAGCATCATGCATTTACTTCAAGGTGAGCATTCTCTGATGGCGACCACGTACCTCCTCTCTCTGCTCATCTCCAGACCGCTGGACATACCACTTAATAGATGCTTGTTGGGATTTAGGTATACATTCCAGAAAGGTTGAATTAAATTCAATACCAAAAATCACCTTTTCATCAGCAGTTTCATGACTAATGCCTGGAAAGCAAACATGGAATAGGAGATTAACCCTGACCTGATTTTAAAAGCAATAGGAAAATAGGCTGATTTAGAACAGATGCCTGGAGGGAAAGAATCATACACATTATTAAAGAGAAAGGAAACTCATGTTATAATATTGTAACCTAAGAGTCAAATATTATCTAATAGATTGTTTTTTAAAACTATTACTGCATAGCAATTTTAACTCTTTCATCAGTTGATTAAAAAAAAATCACAAGACCTAAGTGTGAACATTGAGTCTTCGCAGAGCCAGATGAACTTTTTGCATCTTTCCTTGTATATAAAATGTAACTAACTTCATAGATAGTTCTGGAATAGGAACTATCTTCACTTTCAAAGATAAATTCTACTGTGAACTGGCCCATAAAGCTTATTAATAATTTTAAGAAACTTTATTGCAAAGAGTAAGTACAGTAGTTCTCCCTGATGAAATTACATAATGATGATAATAAACCAAATGCCCCAATACTCAGTACATGGATATTATCTGTATTATCAACACCAACTTCTCATTTCATTCTGGAAGATACTCCAGCCCCACATGCATGGGCTATGAGATAGTTAATGGATGCCAAAGGAGCAATGTCTCAGACACCTTATTCTTGTAAATCAACTGCACCATCTGAAATACATTCCATTCAGACTAGCTGAAGGCTGGGTCCCATGTGTGATCTAAGATCTGTAGCTCAAATTTGATCAAATAAAAAATGACGGCTGCTCAGCCTGGCCCAAACATGCACTTTTTCATCATATATTCAGATGTCTCAATTCTGCAGATGGACCTACTTAGCATTTTAGGCATACACTAAAGAATAGGGCTTCAGGGACCTAAATGAATCCTAAACCAAAGCACGCAAAATTAGCAGCAAATGGTACGAATGCATTTACATCCTATAGGCTTCTCTTCAAGAAATGCCTGTTGAACTTGTGCTTTAGAAACAATGATTAAGTTAAGCATGCTGACACCATTATGGATCGTCATTGTAATCTTCAAAATGTGTAGATTCCATTTGAAGCCTGTAATCTATTCACTACATCTGCCAATGCAACAGGTTATATCTTAGATTTCCTAGTCAATAAGTTCCCAATGCACACAAAGACCACTGATGCTGATCCTGAGAGGGAAAGAAAAGCTTCACTTCTTAATAAGCAAAGGAGTTCATGAACAAAAGCAAGGAGCCTTCAGGTTGATCACTCTGTGCCTGGGCAAGGGCCCAGGAGAAACTCAATTAGACTGATTCAACCACAGACTTGGCCTATTCAGTAGACAATGAGTTAAATCACCTAGATGACTAAACTGTGAGTTCATTATATAAAAATCCTTTGTTATCCATAAAAGATAACGGTCCTATGACAAAAAGTTAACACTTTATCAGTTTGCAGAGTAACACCTAGAATGTATTGTTGTGTCTAACTATGCTAGTTTCATTTCAGAATTTCTATTTTCAAATTTAGGAATATGCATATGTTTATATAAACATTTATATAGTATTATATTATTATCTAACTTTGAAAAGTACAAGAGATTCATTTAATAGTATTATAAAATAGCAGAAGTAAAATAATCCTGAAGAGAATATTTTAGTCTTCATATTACTATTTAGATTATTTTTCACAGTGATTTCATAAACATATGACAAATCATTAAAGACCAAGATTAACATTGCTAACTACAGCTTATCTACATGCATTATTTTTCATAACTTTAAAAGTCATAGCACTTAAAAAATAGAGCAACCAGAAAAGTAAAATAGGAGGGAAGAAAATAAATATGCTTCTGCAAATTATTGAAGACTTGGTTAACTGGTAAGGTCCAACACACAATTATGTCAGATTACACACAAGCCCTCACCTATATTCTGTAGTAAGAATTAATGTTTAAATCTTCACCCTTCTGTCCATTGTGAATTGAAACTACTCTACTGTAATGACTATGGACAATTTTAGGTTGTAAATAAGCTTCATAAGCTTTACTTGAAGCCTCACAATTGATAACCTGCCTCTAGTTTCTCCATTCTCAATCACAACTCTACAGATGTCATTATCTGTATTTTATGTGATATCTCTACACACTTACATAGAAATATGAACTGGATCCTTATAAACTATGGGGTAAGTATAAATTCCACAAAATAACTCAGGACCGTCACAAATCTAACACCATCATGTTAGGATTTTCTGTTTATACTTAATGTAATTTCATCCACTGTGTACAATTTGACATCTTCCTTACGGCTCAGCTCAAATGCTCTTCATCTGAGTATCTCTCCCTTCAACAGTCCACTAAGAACATGTTAGTGTGTGTCTGCTGTGCTGGCCTCGCTTTAGGTTTTCAGGAAAGAGTGGTGGTCACTACTGGCAAAGTTACTGGCCTCGTGACATGTGGATTTCAGTGATAGAGCCAAAGTCAGACTAGTTAATATCGGATCATGATATGTACTACAAACATATAAAGACAGATGAAGAAAAACTGTGCAAAAGGGAGAAAAGAGAAGACATTTCAGATACGGCTGTTCGGGAAGGCTGCTTTAAGGATTTCAGTACAGAATCACAGGATGTGAAGCAGCAGCTCCCGAGCTATCCAGAGAGAAGAGGTCTTCAGGTGTGGAGGCGAGCGCGTGTACACATACGTGCTGTAGGGACCAAATGGGTGCTTTTGAAAAAAACATGGAAGCAAGCCAGTGAGTGAACTTTGCAGCAGGAGTGTGAGGAAAATCCAGAGCCTACTGGGGCCCTGGTCAAGTAGGGTGCTGCAAGCCACGACAGGCTGAAGCTTGTTGCATCGTTATGTAAGAAGCTACAGGGAGATTTTGATAAGGAAATCCTGATCGAATTTATATTTTTGAACAGAGTACGTTGCCCACAAGTGAGAAACAGACTGAAGGGGAGTAATGGGCATGGAGACCAGATGAGAGGCTATTAAAGAGGCGCGGTGGCCTGAGATAGGCTGTCACCTGCAGGGGTGGGGAGAAGCAGGAGAGTTGTAACCCTAGAGTTTAACATATGAAGAGATTAAACATAGGTGATAAACTCAGCACAAGGGTAAAAGGTGACTCCTATCTTGGCCTAAGTAAGTAGGTGACTGATGCTATTCATTCATGTGGCCAAGTCAGCAGAACAAAAAGATTTGTTTCTCAAGACATATATTTGGGAAACTGATTAAGCCATTAGGATCAGATCACAGAACATTTAGTAGATATGCAAGTGTTATAGACTGAATGTGTCCCCCCCAAAATATGTGTTGCAAATCCTAATTTTTATGCCTCTGGTTTCAATCCCTCTTGGAAATGTGGTCTTTGTTATGCTAATGAGGAGAGATTAGTGTAAAGAATGTTTGGAACCAATCTCTTTTGAGATATAAAAGACATTAAGCCAGCAGGCCAGAGAAAGAGATGGAGGAAGACAGACGCTAAACTAAGGAAGATCTTCCAGGAGCAGAGCTGAGACCAGCGTCTCCCCTCAGAGTCCACAGAAGGAGGAGGTTTTCTCTGCGAGCTGACATCCTGAGTTTGGACTTCTATCCTCCTGAACAGCGAGAACATAATTCCTGTTGGTTAAACTCCTCCATGTATCTTATTTTTGTTAGCGATGCACTCAGTGGTAGAAGTCAGCTGGTTCACACCTAATTTTTTTTGAGCTCTTGTTAAATGGCACTTATGCTTCAGGTGGGTGGCTGATGAAAGCACAAACTTACATCCCTTACACTTTTTTGACCTTCAACTGTGCAAGGGCATATTCTAAGCACCCATAGTAAAGCTCATTCCATCCATAGGTATAAAAATTTCAGATGGAACTATGCTTGTGATGTTTATTTTTTCATTTCATAAAACTGATTATACTTTTAAAGAAGTACTCCATTTTCATGTCCTTCCATTTGCTACCGCAGTAAACAAACCTACAGCAAACAGAGGAAACATGTCCAATAATCACAGGAGGACAAGCTGTCATGCGTTCCAGCTTTGAGTTACTGTATATCCCAGATTCCCATGAGATACTGAGTGAATTATGCAATTTCTGAACATTTTCAAAGAATGAAAAATATTGTCAAAACAATTACTGTAAGTTCAGCAGAAGCGGAAAAGGGTTTTTCAAAGATGAACATAATATGTTCAGAGAAGGGAAGTCACCTGTTTCTAATGAATCAAACACAATGACTATTGTCTAATTGGCGTACCTCTAAAAGGAATGGGATCCCACTCCTACAATGAGAAAGGGTTAAGGATAAATCACAGAGCTGATGATGCTCAGATAAAAGCAAAAAACATTGCAAGCCACACCAGTCCAGAGGCATCAGCGAAATCCCATGTGGGAACTTTGTTAGGTAGCTTGGCATAGGGCCTAGGTTGCCCATAGTGCATGCTCAGAGGTTCCAGCTTCTGGCCAGGAAGGGGCGGCACACCTAGGTAGCATTACACATGGACTGGCCCATCTGGGCCAGGTGAACTCAATTCAGCCCATGAGGTCGACCAGGATGGTCCGTCAACCATGCCTCCCAGCGGAGGAATTGAAAAGGCAGGATCCTGGAGCCACCTTGTGACTTTGTCTCTCCAGCAGCTTCCGGGCAGGCGGTACGGGGTGAGGGGCCCTGAGGGTTCCTGTGTACCCCTGAAACTGCTTCTCACTTTTGTAAAACTCACTGGGATCACAATCTAGGCTTCGGAGTGAATTCTTTCTCGCGTGAAGCGAAGGACCGCGGTGTATCTCTCCCACGAGAGATTGAACAACTTCACTGGGTGACTGGACTGTACCTCAGCGTGAGGAGTTAAGTCGAAGATAACGGTGTCTGAGGAAGCAGGCGGCTGTGCAGGACTGGCGAACTGTTGCTAGGCAGAGAAAAAGATCTTACTACACCAATGCCCTTGTTAGAGGAAGATCTTTGTTATGCTGGCAAACCTGTGCCAGCCATCCTGCTTTATTTTGTTCGTGGTTATTCGTCACTGTGCTGGTCATCACCCTCATGAAGTTGTGTTATGTTTTTCTGGTTTTTGGGTAAATGAAACCCAGATTGATGAACCTTTAGGAGCAGGAAGTAGAATAAGGTGGGGGTGGGTGGGGAGTGGAGGGTAAAAGGAAGACAAGGTCAAGGAGTCCAGGAAGAAAAAGTATGTTTGGAAACTCATTGTGGAAGCAATTGGATCATTCTGATTGATGTGATTGAACTATGGAATGATATATGTATTAGCTCCCAGTTAATATTAATTTTCAAAAAAGAAACAATATAGAAATACCTTAAACAACACTCATTTGGGGGGGGGGTGTCAGTTATTATGTATTAATATTTTAAAGTTCTTATAGCCTCATTTTGTGTACTTATTCTAGTATTTTTTATTTAAGTGTATGAAATAATAAACTACCTTTTGCATATGTGTTTTTGTTTTTAATCCTTAAAATGGTCACTAGGGCAGCAAACCGGTTGTTCAATTATTTGAATTTCCCCACTGGTTTCACTACCCAATTAAAGACAAGCATCATACAATTCAGACACATAGGGAAGTGTGTTTAAAGAGCATCTGATGGTATTGAAGTGGATGAATTTAGAGAGAAGGCAGTGCAGAAAAGGAAAGTTAAAGACTCTGACAAGGAGCAGCCTGAGGGACCAGCGAGAATCCAGAACAATGTGGGGTCAGTGAAGCGGAGGCACACGGGGACACCAAACTGCTGACAACCAAGACCTTGCTGATTTTTGTGGTGTAAATACTCCCCCCATAGCTGATTTCAAGCCTTTCCCAAAATTCCTGAAAAATTAACAGTCATCTGGCATAGGGCCATATGAGCTGCATACAAAACAAATGAAAAAACTGATTTAGGGAGGATGGAGTTAGAGATTAAGTATAAATGAGAACTGGAAATTGACTGTTGGGTCAATTTGCTCAGCAGAAAATTGCTGCCGTCCCTGCGAAGAATGGCTTCAGTAGAATGATTGTTACATACAGACTTTGAGCAATGCATTCCAGCAAGAACAAGAGATGGTGAAACAGAGACAATAATTGTGAGTGCCTTAGGCACATCTGTGTTTTATATCACTTTCTTCATAACATTTATCATTATCTGACATAGCATATACTGTACTGTTTTTATGTTTATTGCCTGCCCCAGCCCTAAGACACACTTAAAAATAAGCTCCATGAAAGGACAGACAGTTTTTGTTTTTATTCATCCTTGTACCTAAATACCTCTAGCAATCTCTATTGAAGCTCAGAGGCACAGGTTCTGAATGACGGTCCCTACGTAGCACACTGTGCTGACGCCGAGAGTGGGCATGAAGCTGAGCCATCTGCTCATTAGAACAGCAAGGCATACTGGACCAGGGGTGATGGTTCAGAAGAATGAAATCATGAATTTAAGAGAATTATTTTGTTTTGTCTTTCAATTAAGAGAACACTGAAGGGCCACCAATTATAGACTGTAAATTTAGGATGTTTCTTCTCATCAGGGGTAGCTTAATTCTCACTGCCATCAAAAGTGGATCCCAACTCCTAGCAACCCAGTGGGACAGGGGAGGAAGCGTGCTTTTGATGAAGCGTGCATGCGTGTGTGTGTGTGTGTGTGTGTGTGTGTGTGTGTGTGTTATTTTCCATTTAAAGGCCCCGCTTGGTGAGGAACAGTAACTGTATAGCTTTAGAAAAATGCACGCATTTGGACATTGCTTTCTCTTCCCAGATTCACGCCCTGGCTTCCTCTCTACCTGCCACTCTGCTCCTCCATGCTTGGCTCGGTGCTCTTCCATCCTAGGAAAGTTTCTCTGAGCAATACAGCGTTTGGTAATCTTTCTTTTCCTAAAGTCCCAAATCACTAATTGTGTCTCCTGACAGCTCCCCAAAGAAATAGTAAGCTCTCTGAGGGATTTCTTTGTCTCATGGTATACAAGGACAATTATATACACATGGAAGTCATGTAATCAACATTTCCGGATCAAATAAATACATGAATAAAAAATGATGTGCAAGTAACCTAAAGTTTCTTTCTAACAATTGGCTATACTTTTATCAGGCCTTTCTGAGTCTCTGAGCGTATTTTAAGTGCCAAAATATCTTAGGCTAGCCTCTGCTGTAGCACAATGTCAAACTTCATAAGGATGCTCTAGTCTAAAGGAGCCACAAAGTCACCAAAAAATACCCATCACAGGCTTCTGACTCGGGGCAGAATGTGGTCCTCTGTCTGAAGTGTTTTGAGATTACTTACAAGGGGGTCACTCTGAACTAAAGGTGTAACTTTGGCAGAAGCGGGGAGTGGGACATTAGACTGCACCACCCCTGACTGCAGGAACAGCAAGGGTGACTTGGAGGATGCTCGCCTTTCAGACAGGAATGCTGAAGACTAAAGGGGTGTATGTCTTGTGAGGTAAGCGGGACCAGACTATGTCACCCCCAAAACAATGGGGACTGGACTGATGGTTGATAATTTGTCCTCCTCTCTATTTAAGGAGGGATATTTATCTGTTCTGTGTCAGGATCTCTGTTAGACTTCCGATGATATGATACACACACACACACACACACAAGGTAGGCAGGATAGGCAATCTTATGGAGATAGCAACTGGACTGATGGCTCCTGGGGGGCATCAGAGGGAAGTGAGTAGGGAACCAACAATGAAGGGTACAGGGAAATAGTAAGGCTTCCAAAATTGATGGCAAGGAGTGTGTAGCTTGTCTGGGAACTACTGAGAGAAGAACTATGGGTAAGCATGATAGGGCAGGAGGCAAAAAAAGAGGAAAGAAGAAAAAATATGTAGATAGATTTACATGTGTGCATGTATATATATGCAAATATGTGAATATACAATAAGGAAGCAGATGAACTTTGTGCCTCTACTTAATCTTATCTCAGTACAATAACGGTCTGTTCTAATAATTTGGCACTGTTTGATACTCACATTCCTGACACGATCGCTGAAGACAAAATGGGTGCATAACCAAATGTGGTGAAGAAAGCTGATGGTGCCCAGCTATTAAAAAACATAGCATCTGGGGTTTTAAAGGCTTGTAGTTAAACAAGCGGCCATCTAGAAGGGAAGCAACAAAGTGCACATGGCAGATGTACACCAGCGCATGTGATCACAAGGTGTTGACAGGATCAGGTATCAGAAGTTCAAAAACAAGCAAACACATTGATGTGGCGGGGCGAGGATGTAGTGGAGACCCAATGTCCACCTGTAAGATAATTGGGCAGTCCCTCTCAGAAGGGCCACACAGAAGGGATGATGAATCCAGAGTGCCTTATAGCACTGATGAACACATAACTATCCTCTAGTTCTTTAAAATTTCCTCCTCTTACTATTACGGTCTTGATTTGTTTTACCTCATTAATCATGTTAGATTTGCATATGTTCATTTGTATATTTAAGATCGTTTGGTACATGAAAGTCAAGAGAGATGACCCTTCAGAAATAGTAGCAGGAGTAACAGTTCTCTGAAGGTATGGGAAGAGAGGGTGGGGAGGCGGGAATGGGGAGCTAATAGCATTGATGACTGCATAAACCCACGGGATAGGATCCAACACAAGAATTGTATGTGATTTGGTATATTGGATTGTGTAAGATATTGCAAAACAACACAAAAACCCACTATTATAGAAAAAAACCCCAAAAGAATAAGGGTTCCTGGGAGGCGGTGGGGCGCAGGCGGAGAATGGTGGAGGAGGGAGGAGATAAAGGGGAGCTGATCTCAAGGAGTTCCAGAAGAAAGAGAATATTTTGAAACTGACTGTGGTCGCAATTGTACAACACTGCTTGATGTGATGGAACTATGGAATGCTATGATATGTGTAAGAGTTCCCGGTAAAATGATTGTAAACAACAAATACAAAAAGATAGGCCAAGAATTTAAAAGACATATGAAACACACATGAATATAACAAAGAATCAATCACTTAAAGATCAAGACCTGGAGTGGATTTATAATCTTTTGTTCCTTTCCAGAATACGAGCATCACACAAATTGAGATTTTCCTCTTTAAGAGTGTGAGTCTCTCATTTCCCCGCAAAGATGTTGCAAGTCATTTAAGAGGACACACACAGACTAGGTTTACACGTGGCAAAGAAAGAAGAGCATATTCAACCAAGACTTACTGTCTTCCATGTCCCAGCACTGGGTGATTGGGTCCCCGTACTTCACGTCTTGCCGTCTAGCTCGCCTACAGAAAGGGGAAAGCATGGCCCTGTAATTCAGAACACTGGTGTGCAACCCTAATCCCAGTGACCCATGCAACACTGCTCTTGTGTTACTGATCACCCTAAACACAAATCCCTGCTCCCATTCAACCCCACGTGAATTCACATCGGAGTAGGAGTAGCGTCCTCATAGAACAAATCAGGATATGGGGCATGTTTTGGTAATAAGATGACCTGACTTTTATTTAAAAGCTTTCCTCCTTTCTGACTTTAGACAAGGGAATCAAATGATTCAACAGAACAGGTTGAATATAAATATAATTTATATTTACTTTACACCAAATGAGGAGGGCCACCCCTCCTCCTCTTTCCAGTGACTTATCACAAAGTAATAAGATGTAAAAGAATTTTCAGTTAACAGGAAAGAAAGTACACACACAGGTAAAACTCCTCATATGAATATTCATTATTGCAGATTTGATTAAGTGGCACGTTAATGTCTCTTGAAATAGAACTACAAGTTTTCTATAAATGGTCTCATGTTGTTTCTATGTGTGGATATATGCATACATTGCTTTTCCATGTAGTTTAGTAAGGATAATAGTAAATAATGATTTTTTTGGCATCATTTCAAATATTTTCCTTAAGAGAAAGTTGTAATTACTGAATAAAGAGTGAAAAAACATGTTCACCTTCATTTTAAAATCTTAACATTCTTACAGTGCATTGTCATTTGCCTGGCCTATTTTATGTTGCCATCACAGAGAGCAGAGAAGGTCAGACAGCCTTTGCGAGGTTGTTCCTTAAGGGTTAAGGGTAATGCTGGCTGGATGACAGCCTGGTACAAGACTGATCCATCTCTCGTATCTTTCACCTCACATGGACATTGCTGCGAGGGAAGGCAAAGAATCACAGTGGCATGTCTGTGAGATCACAGATAGAGTCACGGGAAATATAACAAGAAAAAAAATTATGATGGTAAAAGGCACGTAAGGTCAAGAATGTTTTTAAATTTGGGCTTCTTAAGGAACATGGTCAATTCATCAAACTGAAGGTTGATTACCAACTAATGAGCATTCCTGTTTTTCAGCTTCTCGTAAAGGATACCGCCAAAGACTTACTCCGATAGATTCTTCCACAAAAACCTTAACACAATGTTGGAGCCATTTTTCATTTTCAATCAAAAGTATAGGACTTACTGATTAATATTTACTTCAGAGAATTAAGGAAAAATAATATGCCTCCTAGTTTTATGCATTATTTTATGTTGTACTATCCATCGATCCCAAGATTTTTGAGTTTGACAACTTAGTAAATTACAAAAAAGAAAATGAAAACTGTGCATATGTGCATATATGATAGTGGAACTAACATATGCCTGACAGCTATCATATCTTATAGTAAAGACCTTCAGTTACAGAAAAAAAAAATGAAAAAGCATCCAAAAGCTGCTGATATTTTTCTTGAAAGAAAATGAGCCATTGATTCATATTTGAAAATATTGGTATTGTCCTTGAAATTTTTTTTTAAAGTATATCATAATATATTTGGCCAGTATCAATCATCCTGACAGACATTCAAGTTATCTTGGTACTTCAAACAGTGTGGCTATAAGCATTGTTTGACATAAAACTGTGATATTTTTGCAAATGTGTACATAAAAGAAATTCCTAGTTAGAAAGTGTTGGCTTAAAAGAGCAGTGTTTTTTAAGTGCACATTTAGCAATGAACTATAAACAGCCGGGCAACAGTTTGTTGTAGTTTAAGAACATTGGAGTGGCTGAATTTGCTTAAGTGAGAGTTATTAGCATGAAAACGAAATTGTACTGAGAATTGTTGGAATATTGTGTGACATAAAATATACCAAATGTTTACACAAACAAGAATTTAGAAATTATTTTCAAAACAGCAGGTATACATGTATACAAACAGCAGGTATCAATGTATGCGTGTTTAGAAATAAGGAGGAAGGAATAAAGGAATGGTGAAAGACTAGTAAACTAAAACTGAATTTTAGTGATATTTGATATACTCGAAGGAAAATAATAAACTATATCAGAATTCTTTAAACTTCCAGTTTTTTTTCAAAGCATTCCATTGTACCCTTACGGTGCCGTAAATTACTTAACATGACCTCTCCAGGTCATTCTAACAATCCTCCTTGAAAATTCACTTTTATAAAAAAGATGTAATATTTTGATTTTAGCATTTCTATAACATACTGTACTTTTATGTATTTATTCTTTAGTGTACACTACAAAGCAGGGGATTCATGTGAAATGATGGTATGGAAAGGAGGATTCATAGTATTCTGGGGAGAGAAATATACCCCCCCCCCAGTTCAAATATGTTTTACAGAGATTCCTAAGCGAGGACAAATGACCAGACCAAGACCAAACATCCCACTGAGGGCGATCATCAGCAGGAGGCCGTACGAGTGAACCAGGTATTGACAGTCATTCGGCTCATTATAACATGAAGAAAAAGACGAGGAAATCATCACAGAATCAGCATTTTGCAGCCCATTAAGCTATCACGGTCCCAGGCAGGACTACGGGGGCATATATTTATACTATTGCAGAATAGAAAAATGTAGAGGATTAGTTCTGTGACCCTCTAATCACCTCATCTTATTTGGCGTATGAGTCACCACCACGTAGCCCTGATTTTCATTAAGGGTAGAAAGGCCCTTTCCTGCGTTGGCTCTGGGATTCAAAATCTACTTTCAAAAACTTACTCTACCTGAAAGCAAAGCTTTCTACATGGCAGGCAGATGGCCAGAAAGAATTCAATAGAGGAGGCCTTGTGTTAAGGCTCTAAATGAAGTTCGGGTTCCCACTGCAATCCATTGCTTTCTGAAAACCAAGTGCTTCAAATGTAAGCTCTAGGACACTAGTCACTAGTAGTTGTTACCTTTTTGAGGTGAGTGCATATCGAGAGCATGCATTTCCATCCCAGGCACAGTAGGGGTCTCTGGCAAGGCAGCAGTCCGCACAAGCTTTCCCGTAAATGTCACATCTGTGCAGGGAGAGCTGAACCAACCCATCTCGGGACCCGATGTACAGTTGTTGCTGCAAACCAGCAAAACCAATGAATTAGCAGCATCTTTCAGAGGAGTCTTAAGAACTTCCCTTTCTTTATTACCACATCATAGGTCTAAATTTTTCTCCCCGGGTGTCCTGACTATTCTAAACATGTGTACAGAACAGAGAGCAAAATAAGTCAATTGCTGGCAGGCTGGTGGTATGAGGATGATGATACTGAACTGGATAACATTCTACAGAGAGAGAGTAACCTTGGCAGTAATTTAAGAAGGTCAAAAAGCAGCTGCTAGACAGAGGAATTAAGATGTCAAATTCTTTCTCAATAGTTGAAATATACTTTGGTAGACTATATCAAGCACAGATGCTATATGCAACACCGATGGCTTTTCTTCTCCGTGGCTCCTGACATGAGGGATGTCTATGGTCTTAACTAACCATTTCACCTGGTAATGAAATGTTGATACTTGGGAGAACTAATTTGATACGATTGCGAGGAAGTAGCAAACAGGCTTGAAGGATGCCATGTCTCAAGTGAAATCTTGCCATGGACTGAAAGATGCAGCAAAGAAAATTGCTTAAAAATTATGTCCTGAAATGGATGCACTGCTACCCTCGTGTATTTATCGAGTGAGAGTGAAACAGGTGACCAATCGAAGCTGATGCCTTTGCAGAAGCTCATGATCAGCCCCAGTGCACCATGGTCATCTCGAAATGGAAGAAAACATTTTAGAACAGGCTGTGGGCACGACTAATACAGATATACGCCAAAGAAATCTGACTTAGATCTCTACCATTCATTAGAAGTCTCAGCTAAGATTTCATCATTGCTAAATGCAATGAACACTCTTTAGTACTTATTCTATATCATCTATCTATAGAATTATGTTATTAACTATCCACTCTTCGAAATGCTCTTTATTCTTCATTGGTTTTTATCCTTGCCCGAAACATCTTCTCTTCTGATTATTGCTATTTGCATCAAATGTTGGGTTTCCTACTTTCCTATTCTCTTTTATTTAATCATGTTATTGTACAAATGTGAAGATTCAAAAGTGTCTTGGAAACAGCATATCCAAACTTCAGGAAACTGATTCCTTTCAATCTACTCTTCCTTCCCTATCTTGGTGAGAAACACCTTCACCCCCTGGGTCACCCAAGACAGAAGTGTGGGAGTGTCTTTGAATCTCTCTCTCCCATTCAATCTGTCACCATGTCTTTTCCATTCTCATGAGCACAGAACACTTAATCAGCCCTCCCCTCCTCCCCACTGCCACGGCCTTTGTTTAGGTCCTTATCATGTCTTTCCTGAATTAGTTGGAAGGGTCCTAACGACTTCCCCTGGCTTCAGGCTTGTTTTCCAGCAGCCACCACCTCCTCCCCCATGATCTAATCCATCTTCTAAATAGGCTCATGTTCTAAAAGGAAAATCTTATCGTAATATGCTGCTGCTTAAAAATCTTTAATGGTTTCTATTGCCCTCTAGAGAAAACTTAAACTTCTTCAAAGGACATCTAAGACTATGTACAGCATGCTTTCCTGATGCCTTTCGGCCCCCTTCTCCTTGAGCAAACACATTGCACACAAATGTATTAGAATACGCTCCGGTCTAGCACTGCTTACATCTTTGCACATGCTCTCTCCTTCTATTTGAGTGAGCATAAGCTTTCCACCCCATCATGCTTTGTTTTTTTTCCTGAATAATTCCAACACCTTTTTTGGGCTCGGCTTGGCTACTCATCTCAGAGAGGTGGTCTGACTTCCGCCCCTCTTTTAAGTTTCTTTCACTTTCCTGGTACATTGGCCATCCTTACTCTGCACTGCTAGTATGCTTCCTTGTCCCTCATTCCGCCATAATCTTGCAGTGGTCCTCCACCTTCCGAATGTGGCGACCTTTTCATAAGTTCCTCATGTGGTGGTGACCGCCCCCCCCAACCATAAGAGTATTTCCGTTGCTACTTCATAACTGTCATTTTGCTACTGCTATGAATCGGTTGTTTGACCCCCAAAGGGGTGGCGACCCACAGGTTGAGAACCGCTGATTACTCTAAGCACCCCTGCGTTCATTTCGGTGTACCCCAAACATAGCAATAATTGAAACAAAGAACTGAAGATGGCTCAAAAACAAAGGATGCACGGGTACAGCTGTTTGTTTGTGCATGTGTGTGGGTGAGGATTTTTAAACTATTTCAAGTGCCCTTCTGCGTAGGAAAAGTCCCAAAGAGGAAACCTGTGTAGATCTTTGTCCTGATCCTTGCTGTGTTCCATGAGCCAGAGTAGACTGACAACCGCGGCCAGCCTTAGTGTGACCATAAGAGCTTCTGAAAGCTCCAGGGTCCACATTGAAATGGCCATGTGTCTCTGAATCTCTTTCATTGGTTGCTATTTGCAGTGTCACTCTAGGTAACATGAAACGGTATTTCTTATTATCATTATTATACTTAGTTACCGTTTGCTGAAAACGTATAATGTGACAGATCTCTGCTGAGAGCTTTGCCTATTTAAACTCAAACACTCTTAAAGGCATAATTATTTTATTTATTTTAATGTGTTTTTTTTTCACTATTGAGGAAATTGATTCTGGTCACTGGACATTAAGTAATGGCACCAAGGTTGGCATAGGGGTGTTTGCCACCTCGGTTCATATGTTAACAAAGCAAAATGCACTTTTAATGACTAGGATCATATTCTACATAGATTTATATGGCTTTGACCACCAACAACAAAAAAAGCATTTTCACAAAACTAGGAAGCTGCAATTTCAAGAGCCAAGCAAGAACAAAAATGATTCAATTCATGTACTTTGGTTCCATAACTGCTTAAAAAATCTGAACAATGGTTCAGCCAATGAAAATCTAACAAGTACTCTAAAGTGTTTTATATAATTTATAGTTCAACTTACATTTTTAACAGATTTTTCCTAAAAATAACTTGGGTTCAAGAAATTGATTATTTCTGCAGTTAATTTTTACACAAAAATTCAAAATTACCTGCTTCAGAGATAACTCCATATTCAAGATGACAGAGGAGCGCTGCAAATACAAGCAAAATGTCAATGACCACAGTCATTAAGTTTTACATTAGCAATGTCTGTTTATCTTGCATTGAGGCTCACTGGAATAAATCTCAAGACTCAATAAGATAGGGAGAAAGAGCCTTACTGTTTTCTATTTTCTTCCAATCCACAGTGATTCTACCTTAATAGTTATGACCACATGGTTATTTTAAATATCTTATTCAAGAAAAATTAACTAAGTGTATAAGGAAAGACTGAAAGGGAAACTTTCCCCAGTTGCCCACGAGATTTCTTCTTTTAAATCTGCTTAACTGCTTCCATATAATTCAAACTAGTGTTGACAAGAACATCTCCATAATTATTTATTGCCTCTTTCTGCTCTTACTTAGCTCAGTGGCTCAAAATCGGGTTCAAGTAGCTGCGTTCTGAAAAGTTATAGTGCTCCTTGTGGAAGACCATGTTCCTTATGGGACTGTACAAGAGAGGGAAGCACACGATATGAACTAGAGCAATTTTATCTGTAAAAAAAAGTGGATCTGTGTGTGAATGCAATATAAAATCAGAAACATAGCTTCCAAACTAAAAAAATAGAGAGAGAAAAGAAAAAGCAGTGTTCTTAATAACTTGTATGTATATGTACTTATCTATCTATGGTTTGTTATTTATTTATGGACAGACAAATAGTAGCGTATGCTAAGATTAAAAAAAAACAAACAAAAAACATGGCCATAATTGAATCTTAACAGTGGAATCCAAACAATTCCTCTTGACCTCTGTCTAAAAACTACGAAGGAGAATCGAGTTTGCCTAGCTGTGTTGTAGAGGTCTTATTTTTGGCCTCTGGGTTCACATTTACATTTGACATAGTCCTTTCCCAGAGGAACCAAGCAAAATTTTGGTTTTTAGTAGATGCCAGATATCAGGCCTTGTTCTTGTTAACTCCTTGACCACTATTATCATCACAATGTAAACAGGACCCTGTGTAACCAGCAAGTCAATTACCTTAAGCCCTTAACAGTGAAGGGCTAGACCCTCCTTTAAGGCAAAGGGGTTTAAATGGAAACAGTCCATTTTCAAAATATGCTATCCCCCCAAAAGGTTACAAAAGACAGCATATTTTTAAATGTTCTTTGCTAAGAAATACATTTTTACTTCTCCTTTTATTGTCAGAAGTTCATTTTAATTTTTCATAGAGGAAAGGCAAAGAATAACATGATTTAAATTGGCTGTAAAAAGTTAAAGACATTCCTGAAACCTGAAAAGTTTTGTTTTTGATCTACTAATTTTTGGAGCAAGAGAGAGAGAGTGCTCATGGGGTGTATGGTGTGTGTGTGTGTGTGTGTGTGCCTCGCCCTGTAAGAACTTACCATAATGAAACTTTAATTTTTTAAAAATTCCCTTAGAGAAAGACAGGTATCCGTGATTTATCGTCACTTTGAGTTTTCTCAAAGTCAAATGGGGAAGCATTGAAACGTAGTTTATAAAGCAGAGGAGCATCCGGATAGTAAAGGAGACCTGGGTTTCCATCTAGCGTGGCGATTTGTCTGACGTCTTCTTGGAGAATGCAGTAACCAGGCGCAGCCCCAGGAGCTCCGGATTCCAGGCCTATTTGAGAGCCAGGGGAGTCTCCTCTCAGTGGCTTCTCTAACTTTTTATTTCTCCTCTTCTTCCCATTATTAGGGAGAATATAAATAAAGCAGCTCGTTTCCAAAAGTGCCCCAGCGAAAGCGTGGTGACGTATTAAAACAAGTCCATCCATCTCTTCTCCCACAACTCTGGGCTGTCTCACCTTGAATATCTGCAACTCCTCCAGCACGACCTCTTCCATATTCCACTTCTCCTTCGAAATGCTGACAACTTTCAAGACCGTCCCGATGTCTGAAAAACGCATAACTCGTCAGAGTGCTCTGCCTATTTCAGTATGGAAGTATATCGCTAACAATCTACATATGGCCCCCTTCACCTTTCGAGAAATCAAATTAAATAAAATATGCAAGAAGCAAAGCTCACGGTACATGACATTTTCCTTCCTAACTATTATAGATTTTAGTTAATAAGACGCATACTTACAAAAAGAAACTTTGAAGGTATACATGCAGACTGTATTCCACAAAATATGAGTATAGCCCTCTTATTTTTACATATTGGCTTGAATATATAAAAGGTAAGACACAATTCTGGCTGCTCGTCAATTCTGGCTACTGGCAACTCCGTGGACGAAGTAGCGCTTCACTGCAGGTTTCTGAGCCTGTCAGTCTCTCAGGGAGCTCAAAGTCGCAGGCTCCCCCAGAGCGGCTGGTGGATCTGAACCACTGATTACAGTTTGCCGTCCAGCAACTAACCCACCACACCACCCACAACTCCAAACTCACTGCCATCGAGTCAATTCTGACTCACAGTGACACCGGAGGTCAGGGCTGACCTGCTCCCACGGGTTTTCGAGACTGTAATTCTTTACCTGAGTAGAAACACCCCCACCCCCGCACCCCCACCCCCAGTCACTACAAGGTCAGCAGTTAGAAATCATTAGCCAATCAGAGGCAGAAAGACTGAGCTTTCGATGCCCATAAAGAATTACAGTCACTGGAAGTCACAGAGGCAGATCTACCCTGTCGTAGAAAGTCACTAAGAGTCCATATCGACTGGACCGCTGTGAGTTTGAGGTTTGTTTGTTTGTTTGTTTGTTTGTTTCTCCCATGGAGCAGCTGGTGGTTTGAACTTCTGACCTTGAGGCTGTAAGTTCAAGAAGGACCTTCTATGCCACCAGAGTTCCTATTAATCTAGAAAGCTTTTATTAAGTATTTATTATACAACTCATCATAATTGCCTTTTCTGATCATGCTTTCTGTGTTAGGCTGAGTGGAATACACCGGTGGATTACATCATGAGCACCACCAGTTAGGAGTCCCCTCACTGCCAAACACCCCTGAGCATCTTGGCCGAGCTCAATTGATATAAACCTCAACTATCACACTTGACTAACACATAACCAGTGGAAAGAAAACTCTTTGATGATATATCCACATGGAGAAAACAGGAGCTCAGTTATCAAAAGGAGTTACAGGAAAATGCTTTTAGGCTAGAAGCTGGTCTCATTCAAAATTATTTTAGCTCAACTTAAAAGAAAATAACATGGATGAAAATTTACACACAGTCTAAAAATATTTTAATATAGCATCATATGTTGCAATTCCACAAGGTTACAGGCAATTTCAGAAAGACAATCAGAATAACAGTTAATGACAGAAAAAATTCCCACTTGGGAATGAATTTATACAAAATAAATGTATTTAAAATTGTGAACACTCATATTGGAGTGTAATTGCATATACAATAATGAACTTGTTTGAACCAAATTGCCTAGATTAGTTAGCTGTTTTTAAATGTCTCCGGGGTCTTTAAAAATATTATACATTTTCCAAATATTAAATTAAAAATCTTTTGCAACTATGATTTTCTTAATATAAGCTAAGTAGTACCACCTAGTGGCTGAACAGAATTCTTAACATTAAGCTAAAACATCGAAATAAGTTTTGGATGGACAAAGCAGCAAATTTGCTAGACTTTAAAACAAGATAATTCATTGAAAGTGTGACCCCTCACTAGCCATCTCTGAAGCCTTGGGGACATTGCATATTCTCTTAAGTGTTCTTGTGTTATGCAATAAGAGTTGGTAACTGGTATTCTCCAAGCCTAGTCTGTCAAACAATGCTTCCTGGTAAACCTAACTTCTGTGGAAACAACATACTTCAAAAAAAAAAATTTATCATGAAACTGATTTGCACTTCTAAAAGTCTATTCAAATAAAAATATAACACTTGTAAAACTCCCATTAACTTCTACTTCTTTATGCACACTTGATCCATTAAATTACATAACCTTACCTAGTCTGCAGTACTCTCGTTTTAATGATATGTGGTATCCATACTACCATTAGAATACACATGACATTATAAGATATTACTCTTTCATATATTTAAGACTCACCAAATAAGTAATTTTTTTTCTGGAACAAAACACTTCTAATAACTCAATAATTTAGTTCACAGACAAAAAAAAAATAAAGAGATAAAAGTACAGGCTGCAATACTGAGAGTGAGATTTAATACACAAAACTCAATAAATGGAAAACTAATCCCGAAGTTATCACCACATCGAGGTCCTTAGAAAATCATGCTTAATATATTGAAAAGTTATCTTAGTAACTCAATTGAGCCAGTTATTCTCAAATTTGGGTGAATCAAACCTTTGGGATAGAGTTTACCAAATATAATTTGGAAAGTGTAAAAATTGAAATTAATGGACCGATACCCTATGTGTTTCATTTTATAATGGACCAATACCCTGTCTGTTTCATTTCAGCCCACAGTCCTTACACAAACAGGTAGTGACCAATGCTCTGGGGCAGACACACTGCGGTCATAAGCTACAGATGTATTTTCAATACCTGACAATAGGCCGGGAGAGATACACGATTATCAATTAAGAGCACAGGGAAAACCATTTCAAGAAATACTGACTAGGTGTTGGCGAATAATTGGTTCATTTTTACTTTGACCAATTAATGTTTTTGAAGATTTTTCTGTTAATATGAAATTATGCTCTGAAACCAAAACATATATTTTAGAGTTGATAGGTTTGAGCTTACCTGTGCCAAGAAACATGACGTCGTACTGGCCATCTTCTGCAATGACGTGATCCACCACAATCTGTGTCAATCGGTAGTCCACATTGATTCGCTTGAATGTTGGTCCTCCTGCAGCTGGGTAGACTGACTTATACATCACAGGGTGGCGCTTTATGAAGCTGATAACATCGTCTGGAAAATCTCGGGTGGATTTAATCAAAGGGTCATACGTCTTGCTTGGACACTGAAAATAAATGAGAGGAGTAAAGATTTTTCCTTGCATGCTTACTTTCAACTAGCTTTGTCAGGCTCAGCATTCATAACACGAAAGGAGTGGTACAAAAAGTCAACAGAGGACTATTCGTACTTGTAGATGAATGCAGAAGGAAAACTAATGAAAACCCCATTACTCTGCAGTCAGTTTGGCTCAGAGGTGCCCACAGGACAGAATGGGGCTGCCCCATCAGTTCCAGGCTGTCTGTTTTCTCTGCAAAAGGCGACGCCCCACATCACAACACACAGGCTGGCGGATTGAAATGGCCCAATTTCTTCAGGGATTGAAGGCTTAACCACTGATCCACCAGGGCCCCTTGAATGCAGTACACCTGGAATGTATTTAAATACAGTTTATCTCTCAAAAAAATATTCTAAACTGTAATTATGTGCCTGTTTTTACTAAAGTTTCCACAGTGGGTTTGGATTATTTCTCATGAAGATAGGATGAAATGGAACTTGAATAACTGTTAAGAAGCTGATCCATAAATATGGAGACAAGTGGAAAGATACTATTTCCCCATTTTCATAGGAGACATGTAAAAGTGAAAATTTTAAATTGTGTTCATTAAAAATTAGAAAAAGTACAAAAAATTACACTTAAAAGACCTTTAAGGGTTTGCGATGATAATTACATAGTTATTTTTAACTGGTGTGAAAATTATACTGTGAACATGTCATCAGCTCTTCCCCCACCAAATCTATGAAGAATCCCTTGGGGAATTTTCCATTTCAATCGAAAATTGCTTCTTTCATTTTACAACCACAAATTCAATAGTTGGCATTATCTGCCCCCTGGCGGTCAGAAATAAAAAGTTCAAACTCTACAAAATGAAGCATTTTGATGGTTTGTTTCATCTTCCAGAGCAGTGGTTCTCAGCCTTCCGAATGCCGCGACCCTCTCATACAGTTCTTCATGCTGTGGTGACCCCCAACCATAACAGTATTTTCGTTGCTACTTCATAACTGTCATTTTGCTACTGTTCTGAATCCTAATGTAAATATCTGATATGCAGGATATATTTTCGTCGTTACAAGTTGAACACAATTAAAGCATAGTGATTAATCACAAAAGTAATGTGATTACATATTGCGAAATATTTATTTCTAGTGACAAATATATGACATGCTGTCTTGAAGCATGGTGTAGATGGGTGACAGTCTTCACGCAGGGTACTCGTATGTGGGCCTATCTGCATGTGGGCGGACCCGCCTGAAGACGGATAGAGGAGCAGTGGGTGCCTCGGTTCCTAAGACCATCAGAAATAGGTGTTTTCCCATGGTCTTGAGCTACCTCTGTGAAAGGATTGTTCCACCTCCAAGGGGGTCATGGCCCACAGGTTGAGAACCGCTGCTCCAGCGACAGGCGCGCCTTGGTGCAATGGGATAAACGTGCGGCGGGGTGTTCCTCCAGAGGAACACGCTGATCCCACTGATCCTCCAGAGGAAGATGAGGCTGTCTGCTTCTGTAAAGATTCCGTTTCGGAAAAAACGACTTTGTCCTATATAAACACTTGTTATGAGTTGGAATCAACTCGATTACAGCAGGTGTCTTAAGTTTATTATGGGCTACGGGGGTGGGGTGGAGGACTAGTGGTGGTTAGTCCTGATGGTGCTGTGGTTAAGCCCCGGCTGCTAACAGACAGGTGGATGATTCGAACCACCAGCTGCTCCGTGGCAGAAAAGATGGAGCACTCTGCTTCCTTGAAGATTAAGTAGCCACTGCTGTCCAGTAGATGCAGACTTACAGCGACCCCACAGCGTTTTCCAAGACTTTAAATCTGTACCGAAGTCACCAGCCTTATTTTTCTCTTGCAGACTGGCTGGTGGGTTCTGGTTTAAACACTTAACCCACTCTAGAGCATCAGGCCTCATTTCTCCTCCGTAGATATTATAACTTTTGAATTTGTGGAGCAGGTCTCTGCTGTCCTACGGGGTCACTGTAAGTGGAATCCACTCATGGGCAGTGGGTACTAAGTATTTTATAAGTTGACTTAATTTTTTTCGAAGAACAGTACAAATTCGAAAACTATTTTATAACTTGTTTTAATTTAGGCAACCACCTCAGAACAAACTTATCACATCTCATTCAAATTCTTAAGTGGAGATAAATGATTTTGGAGTTAAACTTTTATGATATAACAGAAGCATTGAGAATAAAGTTAGTGATATTAAAGAACGTTTGCAGCAAAGGACCATTACATATATATTTTAGGCCATTTGAAAGCCTAATCTCCACTGGTTATAAGAGGCACTCATTAGAATCCAGTCAAGACACCAATGAGCGACTGCCCTTGCCACTCAACATGCTCATGAGGATTATTCTCAGGGAGCAATACATTCTACAGTTTGTTACATTCTATGACCCCTGACTCCAAATTTCATACCAATCACATCATAATGTCTCAATGCACTAGAAAAAAATGTTAAAGTTGCCCTAAAAACCATGATGACAATCTATATAAAATTTGAGCTATTTTTGTGATATTATCGTCTCCAAAAATCTGGTGTGTCTGAAATTAAGAAATGTACACTTTCTTGCTATCTTTTATTTGCCCCAGGTCTGCACTAAAGAGGTTAGGAATTTCCAAGAATATTAACCATTTGGTTCTTATTTCGCATATCCTTAGCTGGATGTTGCTTTAAAGATCTAAGTCTGTATCTTCATTGTTGAGCGCACTTAGCCTCCGGCCAAGCAGAATCTGTCAACTCAATAATGGAAGAAACCCTATATTTAATAGATTAAGCAGGGACTCAAAATACCTACGACGCTCAGAGGGTTCAAAGCTCTTATCCAATCATAGTCTGTATGTTTGAGGCTCGGTCAGAGCCATTCATAGTGGATTTGTAGCTTAGGCTGCTTATGGAACAATTGGTTGGTCTATCATTAGAATCAAAGTAAAAGCAAGATTTTGTCTGCATTACACTTTGAGCAGCGATCCTACTTAAAGAAGAAAAAAATCTCTTTTAACTTTGCAGCTGTCATTATGTAGGCCCCATATTTCAAATAAAATTATATCATGATCTCTGGCACCTAGTTTTGATACCAAAGCTTTATATCGTTTGTATTTTTAATGTAAAGAAATAGAATTGATTTTCTGAACCGGGAATAAAGAAACAAATATGGTCATTTTCTCATTGCCCACCTCTGACAAACGGTTCAAGTGTAACACAATCTCAGGAGAAAGCAAGCAAAGGAAAACCTGGCTTCTGTTGACTATTAAAAATGGTCTTCTTTGAACACTTTCTTTCTTTCTTCACGGCCAGCGTTTGCACGAGATCTTTTATCTTCTGAGTTGCGGTGGCAATCGCTCAGGTTCGTGTCTCCACTCTGCTTTCATGAATGCAAGTGATTTGACAGTCGCCCCCTGAGGTTTGCACCCAATATTGTAATTTCAGTACATTCAAACCAGTCGACTTTTTTGCTTTGATATTATATAGCTGGGAAGCACACCGATAAAAAAATAACGTGAGCTGCCCAGCAACAATGCAGGTACGAACAAACTGGAAAAGAAAATGTCTTCTGTTTCCTCCAACCAGCAGCAAGAAGAAAGTGTGGGGGAAGCCATCACTCACTGAAAGGGTGTTTTCAATCATTTATTTTCCTTTAAAAACTCCTATGAAATTCTCCTATCGCAGTTCTTGTGTGTGTGTGTGTGTGTGTGTGTGTGTGTGTGTGTGTGTTTTCCTCTCTTCCTAGACGGGCTTTTAATGTGTGGCTATTAGCACACACTCTCTGAATATCCTCTAGAGGATCATTTATTTCTGCCTTCAGCTTTTTTTAAACATTTGTCTGATTTCTACCACTTTAGCTCCCCTAAGTGCAGGGGATAAATCAGGGAGATTATCTGTGTCTCCACATACTCTTTCGAAAGGCACCAAGCAGGTTTAAAATTTGGAAAAGAAAAAAAGAAATCCCTGACCCCCCACTTTAAAATGACAGCATCTTTCTGGAAACATTCATACCAGCCCAAGGGGCCCAAGCGGGGACCTGCCTAGACAGCCCCCGAGATGAAAGAGCAACCCCCCCAGCGACACGCCCGGTCCCGCGCCTATCTCCCGGGCTGGCTGCCACGGCTGGTTAGGTGTGATCGTGTTATGCTTGGCAGATCTGCACAGGGCCTTTCTGGTGCAGCGGGAAGCAATGGATAAGAGGAGACAAATGGTTTTTATCCAATGAGAGAACTTTGCCCCTTGGCAAGGTCCCAGACAGCTGTTTAAAGTTTTCTCCTACTGCAGCTTCAGGCTGTTCTCTACAGGTTGCACTTTCTCTTCAACTAGTGTGTGTGTGTGTGTGTGTGTGTGTGTGTGTGTGTGTGACACAAATGTGAGGGAAGGCATGGCACACTGGGACCCTGGACCAAGTGGGGAAACAGATAAAGGACACGTGACTTTTAAGGGCAGACCGCAGAAAGGCAAGTGCGGTCTTTTTGCTTTGCTACTATCTAGCTGGGAAGCTACCTGGCTTACTCATCTAAGGACCAGTCCATCAGAACTAAGGGCAAGCCAGCCTCTATCTTGGAGATCAGACATAGGCCACGGGGGCAATGACAAGCCCCAATCCAACCCACTGTCATGGAGTCCGTTCTGATTCCGCAACCTCATGAGCAGAGGAGAATTGCCCCTTTGGGTTTCTGAGTATGTAAATCGTGAAGGGAGTAGAAAGCTCCTTTCTCTCACCAGCACCCAGTGGGATTTGAACTGCTGGCTTTGTTGTTAACAGCCCAAAGCATAACCCTTAGGACAGTGGTTCTCAAGCCTTCTAATGCTGTGACCCTTTCAAACAATGCTTCGTGTTGTGGTGACCCCCAACCATAAAATTATCTTCGTTGCTATTTCATAACTGTAAGTTTGCTACTTTTATGAATCGGATGACCCCTGTGAAAGGGTCGTTCGACTCCCAAGGGGTTGTGACCCACAGGTTGAGAAGCCTGCTGCCTTAGGAACAATTATAAACCAAAAAACCAAACA